TAAAACAATCCAAAGTGCAAAGCTTTTTACAATATTTTGTAAAAACAACTATTTTCCATAGTAATTCTATTTTTCAAACTGTCATCCTAAATATGTGTATTCGTATAAAGATCCCCGTTCTACCAATTAAAATTGATTATAGGAATTGACTTTACTTTCCAATGTATGCTCAAAGAATCTGCCGGTTATCGACGTAATACCGTAACGTCGATGAGTCAGGACTCGAGAAGTCGGGGTATTAGCGAATACACAGCCCCTAATAAGGGTTCTCTAACGTGAGGGTCGCGTGATTTCTTGAAAACGTAGAACAAATTTTAGCGATACGCATCGTATGTTTTATTTTTTTAACAATCTCTTTTTCTCTTTTGGCGTATCATGTAGTTTGATCTAGATAAAGCTCACGTGATTAAAGCGGCTAGTCTAACTTCATAAATATCGGTCACATCAGATACACTAGCGTATAATCATTTTTTGACAGTACACGTTTCTCGAAAACGTATGTGATTTTAATTAAACGTTGCGAAAATATGATAATTCGCAATATGCGAATGATATATCAAATTACAAAGAAATTGGAGTGGTTACATCCAATTGCAGAAATTGACTTTTATATGTCTTTAAGTAAATCTCACTAACTAGGTTCTTTGAACATTTCCAGGTTCTTGCTCAGAGAACTTTAATTATATTGAATAATGATGTACGTAATTCTGTGATTTCCTTTTTTTTCTAGTAACTTTGATAATTAATTTACAAGTGTCCATTATCCATGCAATATTAATATAAATCTTTGAAACTGTAATCAACAATTGTAAAACCACGACTCTCGTTTGTCAAAGCAAGAATGAAAAGAATTCGTATAAAAGTTTATGAATACTTAATAATACAAATTCGCACATTACTAGAATCTATGTACTGTTAATCAGGTCTTATTGAAACGTTTAATAATCCAAGCATTTTTTGCTATGATAATAGTAAATTTCCGTTTCTTTTTTAAGGAATTGAGTATAATCTTGCTTTCTTATGGCCTGGAATGTTAGAAGAAAAACCTGTGAAAAGATAGAAGATAGAATGGGGTGTCGCGTGGTGCATTCATCTGCACGTCCTTGGTTAATATGGCGTTTCTCTGATGTTCATTTCTGCCAAGTGAATTTCTTCAGCGAGTCATTATATAAATTTCTTGCTACTGGAATTGTGTTTACCGCTAGTGTTAATTAAAAATGTGCGAGTACCTATTCAATGGGCATAATATTTTTCATTTCAACGTCCACTAGTTCTCATTAGAACTTTTTAATTCACTTTTATATCGGAATGCTCGAATTAATAAACAATATTCTAGTTTCTCATCGACGGCCCGATATTTTATTAAGTGAGTGTTACTTTCCCGGCGCACGCGTTTAACTTGTGGAAGCCACTTAACTACTGTTTTTCGTTTATTAGAACCATATCATACAATTGCTTTACCACTTATTCATTAACGTTCGAAGTGTAAATATCATAGTGTTTTCGAATAATACTTTGTTTCGATCATCCAGAATCACCTCGCACAGCCAAGTAAGTTATTATGACTTCGCATACAATATATCTTCGTACTCTCCGGCCGAGACATGATGTCGGTTATTCTTCATTGCAAGATGAGGGAAGGCAAGATGACTCTTTCACTCACGATGTCTGGACCCACGGTTTCGACAGGTGGTTGTTACTGGTCGCGCGGTAGTACCAGAAGATGGAAGCGAGACAGAATGCGACGGAGGGAGACGTAATGTAGTCATCAAAGTTTGCAGTGCTGCCAGTTTCGTTCCCTATCGTTACATCTCACTCCATCACATTAGGTTTCGCTACCGTTTTATGTTACTGCCGCGCACTAATGGTGACTAAGCATCGAAAACTGAGTCGTCCAAACATCGGGAGTGAAAGTCATCTTACCTTCACGACTACTTTTCCCTAGCATGAACAAGTACCGTCACTTCTCAGCCGGACAATGTATAACAATATTATATTTCATGGAAATTGTAGTTGTTTATTCTATTATTTTGAATTGTAAGTGTAAGAAATTCTGTAGTATGTTAAAGAGACATTACTAGATAGTATTTCTAATACGTATATTTTTGCGCCGGCCTTTATAATGTCGCGTGTTCAGCTGCAAAGGCAACGACTCGCTTATACAAGTATAATTACAAAAATGCGTCGAGTCCTCGCCGTAGCCCCTTTCTAAGAAGGATCGATCCTTTGCGTATCAATCCTCATCCTGGCAAGATCGCTAGCTTTCCCTGCGAACGTCGACAGGAAAAGCATCCTTATCCTCATCTGTTTATCCCCCGTTGCAACTCCAACATCTACAAACTCTTGACGAGCTTCGACGGCGTCGACGAAGAACACTGCGTCTGCACAGCGTCGTCGTTCACACTGATCAACCGCCCATACTTTCTTGGCCCTCAAGATGTTATTTACTGCCTGGAACCCTCTCGATTCTGAATCCATGTACACGTCAACTCTATAGTATTACGACCTAATGAAATTTATTACTTATTGCAAGAGACCAAGAAGAGGAAGTTACAGTTCCTTAGAAACGGAAGAAGTGCAACTTATTATTAGTAAAAAAGAAATAATTATTAATCAGATGAAACATTAATTGTTTTATCATGAAAAAACTGTTATTGCAGGAAGGAAGCTTCTATGAACAGAGTGAAAAACTTTGCGGTTAATGGTACTAACGGAATGAGGACACCTGGAGAACTGTTATGGCGTGTCGAGCTTGCGGCACGTACACACAAAGGGCTGTGTATGCAAATCGCGCGTAGAATAAATGCATCGTCTACGAAGTCCCGTAGTGGCGTGTTACAGGATCGGGTCTAGCGACACTATAACCCCACGAAATATCGATTATTTATCACTGGCCCGAGTATATTACTTGAAAACAAATCACTAGCTTTTAAACTCTTAAGCAAACAAGGATATTCTCCACGGTTGGATTAAGAACCTAATACATATTCGAAGGATAATGTAAACGCTACACGCACCTGGCTCATAAACAACAAGTCCATTTTCATTTCCCGCGTAGAAATGAAGTCCCTTCCAAAAGAAAACTTAATTATATCCTTGGAATCTCACGTGTTAATTAGTTCCTTTTCCACGTACGTTATTATACTTGCAGATCGTAGTTGCTGAAATTAGTCGAGAGGAATGAACGGGGACAATTGTTATAATTTTCTTTATGGTTTCTAGTACGGCAACATTTATTTTCAATTAAACTACGCGTGCAAGTGTACGTGTCGATGGCTGGTTTTGTTGGTTAAAGGTTACTACGCTACTGATTCCTGCTGGAAACGGTAGTAGGTTATTCCGCAGGCAGTCTGGGCCAGTGAAGGATTGAGAAAGAGCGGCGCGAGGGAGTGACTCGAGCACTGACCAGTTGCTTATATAGCCGCTGGAGATTAGCATAAAGTTACACGCGAGGCTGACGTTCAGAAACACGATAAGAGTGTACGTGCCCTGTTTCCTCGCCTCCTTACCTCCCAACCTACTGCCTACTGTGCATATTCCTTCAATCATCATTCTGACTTGCTCATTTTCCGTCACATGGAACGCGTACGCTCAAAGCAGCCCTGATTTATAGGGTTTCCGATATGCCACATTTAATACGCTGCGTCTGTTAATTCGATTGAAATCGATCGTCCGTTTCGTATTGCAGCGGACATATATTCGTGGAAGATATTCACTTTGTTTTATGTAAATGAGGTCTGCGTTGGATGAATGTATTTGTGATTGACTTAACGTGATCGATGAAGCGTAATTGATATTTAATAATAAAAGAATAGTATGTTCAATTTGTTGGGTTAATTAATGTTCCATTTCACTGAGAAATGAAAACTGATTATTCAGTGTTGTTAAAAAAGTAACAGATATGCTAATTGCTGATCAATTTTTCGCTGACAATTTATGTAAATCAAAGAACGTAAAGTATTAGTTTTAGTAGATGTTCATTAAGAGTATTTGTAGGAAAAAATGGGCGTGGCACTGAATTTATTTCATTTTTACGGTACCTCACTGCTGAAATGTAGCTAAAGAGGAAATCATGGTAAAACTTACGCGACAATACCTCATAAGGGTGAAAGGAACTTGAATGTGTGATTAACCAATCGAGGTCAGCTGTACGTTCAACTCATTTGAATTTAAACAATGGATTCTTCTTTTGATACTACTTCGTGCAGAGATATTATCTCCGGGGAATTGTCCGTCTAGCGATAACTCTTTTTTAGATAGCGATCATGTAAAAAGTAAGGCACTAAACTTCGTGTAAAATCTTGGTGGATCAGAGCTTGCTAATTCTGTATTAATTCATTTTGAATTCCAAAATGTTTCCTACGTTATTTTGTGTTTCCAATTTATTAAACGCATGGAGAAATTACTTTAATTGGACCTTCCTTCTAGGGCCTTAAAGGTGCTAACAGTTAATAGTGATGGGACTCTAGGGTCGAAGTCTCATTAAGACTAAGCCTCCAAACGGTTAAACAATGGGAATGTTGGGTAATTTTTGGTTTTCATAGGTTCCAGACTATGCCATTCTGGTTTTGAAGACAGAAAAGTCTCGATCGGTTGACCTGGATGGCCAAGAGGGATCAGGGAACTTCAGGGCTTACAATAAGTTCTTAGGGCCACAAGATTCAGGTGTCCTAGTGGATCAAAACTGGAACATTAAATTAATTATTAACAACCATTGATATCCGTTAATATTTATTAAAATTCATTGACATTCTTAGACACCTTTACTATCTATTTTATTCGTACATATTACCTACTAAGCTGTACTTCCTACGTTATCAACTTTTACTACTAAGCTTCTTTATTACTATCTAGATGTCGCAATCTTTAATCGAATCAACACTAACACCCTAAAAGAAAATTACAGAGAATATTTATTATTGTTAGAGGAAATGATTTAATTGTTATATTATTGTCATTCTACTTTTATTTCTCAGAAAAAAATGTACAAAGGTGTACAAAACATTTCAACAGTGAATGTCCATGTGCAGAGATCATCATTGTACGTTTCTTTTACACATTATGGTAAGTTGAGTTTTGCGTACTTCATAACTGCGTACTTCGTTGTAATAATTATTCTCTTTCGTTCAATGTACGAGATTTTGCATGACATATAGGTAATAATGGTTCGTCAATAAATAGCATTTATTGTTATCGCACTGAAGTTTACTATAAAATAAATATTAAATACTTCTATTGTTTGTACGATGTATGACTATATACACGAACACTTCTAAATTTACAATATTCCTCGGTCGCAGACCTCATCACAAAGAAACACGTTACTTCAAGTTTACCATCGTTATTCAGTTAAAGCTCCGTTGTTTCGATTTTCTTGCCAAGAGGATTGACGATCGTATTGTGTGTTCGATGTAACGATGATGTGTGATGGAAATTATTTGGAATGTTCGCAATACTTTCCATGCTGAAAAGATATTGATACAGTAATTATATTCGTTTCCAGTGTATAAAAATCAGTTAAGAATATTCAATACTTTTTACCGTTATTAAATTATATTGAATACTATTAAAATACCGTTGAATTCATAACTGTTGTAACTTTATTTTATTCGTGCATTTACCTGGAAATGGAAGACACTCTTGGCTCTATATAATACGGTTTGTCGTCGTTTCTTTGGTTCGTGTTAACTTCATTCATCATTTCTTCGTTGTTCAATGCGTTCTCGTCGAGGGAGTCTCTTTCAGATGTGTGACTAATGGACTCATCACTTTTGAACCATTCGTTCTCGTAAGCGTGCATCCATATTGGATTCGATCCTTCGACGCTGTGCTTGTTCGTGTTAGGAACGCGTCCTGGACCTCTAATAAATTCCGCGTCCGACGTGCCTTTAAAGTAAAAAACATTTCAGCATTTTGACGTTTTTATATTCCATTGCCTGTGTTTCGTGGAAGATAATCCATATTTAAATCATACGTTCTTTGATCATTATTCTACATCATAAAATATTCATATATTCAAGAATACGATCAAAATATTCTTACTTGAGATATATACAACTTAAAACCAAATTAAAATATTATAATAAAATTACTAATGATTAAAAAATAAGTTTCATTATTTATGGTATTATTTAACTTTCTTAACTTAAGTGTATCATTTAACTATTTAATTTTCATTATTTATCTGTACTTTGGGGAATATAATTACAAAATATACTAAACATTATATCAAAACGTTTAGTTAAATGTATTGATATAATTTTAGTAAAATATTATTAGAAATATATTCGGCGAGTATAATTGATAGTTACCAAAAGGAGACGCGTTCGCTGCTTTTAATTGTCGGCGAAACGAGGCTCTTTGCGAAAGGCACAGAGCTATGCACAAAATTAGCAGAGCACCCAGAAACAAGGTCAAAGTCAAAAGCCAAAAAGTCGTCCCTGCTTGCTCGTACTGAATAATTGGCTGATATTGAGCTGGTTGCGTGTCGAGAACATTGAATTCCTTGAACAGGCTGTCGAGCTTCTCAATGTTTCTATCGACTAATTCGAGAACCTCGGACACCTCTAGAATGGAATTGTCCCGACGATTGACGAGATGCAAATAGAGGTCCGTCTTTGTTCGATCGACAGACCCGTCGTGATTCTCGTGGATTTTGTATTCGTCGATGTTCACTATTGCACCTGTCACGTTGCCTAATGTCCTATTTTCAACAATTTTATTTTCGTCAAATTTCTATTACAACATACTAATGCCACTTCCATATTGCATGCAATTCTTAATTATCATCTCCAAGTAAAAATCGAAATATAGTTTAATTTTAGAGCCGAATAGATTCTATAATGTGACTTCTTATTGATCAATTCAGCGATTAAACTAAAAAACGAGATTTTTTTCTGCAAGAATGTCATTAATATGTTTTACAATAATAAGAATTATGGAAGTTCATTTATTTCGTTAATTTTATAAATGTTACTGCTGCTAAATCATGACGAAACGTTCCTATTTTTAGTAGATGAAAATTAATGAAAATTAACAAAAGATTAATAATCTAGTAACAAAATTCACATATTTTGATAAAAAAATAATTTTAGTGAACTTACTCCCTGAACGTGTCTATTCTGTTCCGGATTTCCGGTGGATGCTGTCTCAACACAAAACGAACTCTTTGGTCTTCCCGTAACAAATAAATGAATACCCTCGCAGTGTCCTGAAGACCATGCGAGTCATTGGCCAGGACCTGTTCAAACCAATCGATATTAATACTACACTATCGTCTGACGGATACGATATAGCCTATGATCGAAAGGCTTGTACACAGAATTTATAGAAGTAATAATAGTCGTTTCAAACATTAATGAAGGGAATTTCCTACGAAGTACTTTCCCACGTTCAATTTTTCAAAACACGTCAGTTCCACGTACCATGAAATCGAAATAGCCTTTCATTCCTCTTTGCGGATCGAAATTCAAGCTCACTACTCCGGTAAGTTTGTTAACCAAAAATGGTTGTATCTCAATATCATCTAAACCCTCTGTCAAAGTCATATGAATTTTACCAAGTTGGTAATAATTAATTACTGCGTTATCACCGGCGTCTAAATCGATTGCCTGAAACAAACACTTGTCTCTAAAAACACAGAACATCTCATTCTTGATAAAACCACCAGTAAAGAACAATTTTATGTGAAAAAAATATATTTAAAAAATTTTGAAGTTCAGATGTTTTTTCTACGAATTTATTTTAAACAATATTTTACCTTAACATGCATAAACTGTGTGCCAAAATCAGCATCAGTGGTGACACCACCTGTGAATATTTTACTAACAAATTTTGGTGGATTGTCGTTTATGTCTACCACATCTATGATAACTTTCAAAGTAGTATCGGTCGCATCCTCAATGAAACTATCGTTTGCAGGCATTGTGCTGCAATCTTCTGTCGCTTTTATAATCAGCAGGTGTTGCTGTTGTTGTTCCCTGTCTAATGTTTTAGCCGTCTGAAATCATTATTCACAGATGAACATTTTTCAATAAAATTATTGCAAAAATGATGCCTGAGTAACGTGAACATTTGTGCATACATTGATACTTACACTTAATTCGTGTTTAAATATATCAAGGATAAAGAATCCATCATCGTTCCCACTAACAATGAAGTAGCAAACTTGAGCTGGTGGATCTTCTAGTTCATCGATGTCATCTCGATCGACGGTTTGCGGTAGCAAGATAGTTTCTGCCCCAGGAAATTGCTGCTCCGTGAAGTTAGTGTTGAAAATATCTACTAAAAATTGAGGCTCGTAGTCGTTGATATTTCGAACATATATTATTAGATCCAGATCCGAACTCAGTGGAGTTGGAGTACCTAGATCATATGCTTCCACTCTGATCTAAAACACAAAACAATCAATTTAATGAAATCGAAGTTTTATTTTAAACTATCAATCCTAGAAGAATATTTTTATTTTGATTCTAGCATAGTGCAGGGAATAATAATCGTAATTACCTCATACAGTTTTTGAGTTTCTCTGTCTAGTGGAAGTTGCAATGAAACAACTCCGGTTGCCTCGTCAATTCGAAAAGTTCTCCAATGGCCAGCCAAATCTTGTTTCAAACGATAATGAACGTCACCGTTCGGACCAGTGTCTGCGTCTTTAGCTTCGATTTGAATAATTGGTGTCCCGACTGTTACATTCTAGAAGATATTATATTTATAATAATATATTCAGCAATCTAAGTAAATTAACCTTTTACAGTCGAAAGTTTTTCAGTAGAAACATTCCACATTTTTCAATGAGATATAACAGACATTCTTTGAAATTAGCTAATGAGAAAACGTACATAAATTAAGAAACAAAGCTATTTTATTTCAATATTTCATCTATCGATACATTATGCAAAGTATAATATAATATATAAAACTACAATTTTGATATATCAAATCTAGTAGTGACGTTTAATCATTTCTAGACCGCAAAGGGTTAAACGTATAATTCCTTTTTATTATAATTAATTATTAGCAATAAAATAACTTTGATAAATGTATGTTGTTAATAGTAAATGTTGTTTGAATGCTAATTGAAATGAAGTGTTTAATGAATACCTCTGGTACACGAATCGTCGTGTTATGTTGAGGACTAATGAAGACCGGTGGGTTGTCGTTGTAATCAGTGACGCAAATACTTAAAGTTGAGGTATCTTTGTTGGAGGGACTGCCAAGATCGCGTGCTTCCAACGACAGTGAATAATTCCCGAACTTCCCCCGAAGCGAGTGGGCAGCTTTTATACTAGCTGTCCAAGAATCTACTTGTTCTAGAATGAAGAAACCTATCGCAAAGATTAAATGTCAAATGTATTGAATTTCTTCAGAATCAAATGTAAAACGATTACTCGATAGAATAATTCGATAAAAACACTCGTGCACACCTAATTCGTTTCCAGAAAGAATTCTGATCTTCACTCGACCATTTGGCGTTGTTGGATCATCAGCATCTTTCACTTTTATAACGAAAATCAAATCTTTCACATCATGGAACTCCGATATAGTGATGCATGTGGATGGTATATCCATTTTTGGTGAATTGTCGTTGACATCTATTACTGTCACCCTTAAAAATCATAATGTTTTATATTTATCCCAATCCACGATAAAAATTTATTGGAATTATTCAAGTTTTATAATCGAAAGGAAGATTTTGTGAATGTTATTTTTGCCATAGAACATTGTGTAACATACTGAATTTGTTTGAACGCGTTCCTCGATTCGCCAGCCGTGTAACCGAATTGATAGTTGTCCCACGCCTCGATTACTAGAACGTAACTTTGTTTGGCTTCCCAATCGATGGAATCTGCTACTGTCAATGCACCATATTCCGGGTGAATAGCGAAAGTTCCCTGTTACAAAACAATAGATACAACTACCGCCATAGAGATTTCATCAGTTCCGAACTCGTTACCTGAGACGACATCCTATCGAGTAGATAAGTTATTTTCCCATAATCGCCGGTATCGGGATCACTAGCTTGAATAACAGCAATCTCTGTACCGATCTTGGCATTTTCCATCACCGTTAAGTTACTAATATCCGTTACGAAATATGGATTGTTATCGTTCTCGTCCAGAACCTGAACGTAAACCTCTGATAGGCTCGATCTACAAATATTATAATCATTCAGTCCTTTCATTAAAATTCCGTTCGTCATAAAAATTTTAAATACTCTCATAATTCAAGCGATATAATATAATATAACATTCCAAATTTTAATAAACACAACTTTAAACATATTGTATTTAATTTTTAATTATCACGTGCATCATTTTCTGAATACTTTTCTGCTATAATTGAAGTACTACATTTTATTTTATAATTTCTTACCTTGGCGGTATTCCCGAATCGGTAGCTCTAACTGTTAAATTGAGCCAGGAATATTGTTCCCTGTCGATTTTATTCGCCACGACCATTTCGCCCGTTTCAGAATCGAGATGCACTAAATCAGTCAATTCCTGTGGACTTTCCAACGTGTAAGTGATACTACGATTCTTGTCGGCATCATCGGCCACAATGTTCGCGATGTTCACGCCATTTTTACTGTTTTCCGTCACTGATCGCCTATAAAATGGCCTTCGGAATCTTGGATTATTATCATTCTCATCTTCGATTATTATATTTAATATTGCTGAAATTGAGATTGAAAATTAAAAATTTTATATATTAAAAGTAAAGAAATGTCAACGTAGACTTAAATATTTTCTGTTAAATGTTTAATATAAATTTCTTATGATAATATAAAATTAAAGAAATATTAATGTTGATTTGCATATTCTCTGTTAAATGCTTAATATAAATTTGTTATGATAATATAAAATTGAAGAAATATTGATGTTGATTTATATATTTTCTGTTAAATTTTAATGTAAATTTGTTATACCGAATGCAGTTTGTGCTCCTCGAACAGCAGCCAAATCTTCAACAACTATACCTAGTCTTATCGTTTCTACTCTTTCTCTATCCAACAGTTTAACTACTCGAAGCAAACCGTCCACTGCGTTTAATTCTAAAGCAGACAGATAATCGTATTCTTGAATTTTAATTAACGTCCCTTCTTCGTTTCTAGCTTCAGAGGAATTCGGATCGATACGGTAACGCAAAATTGGTGCAATATCGGGATCATTGGCGACAATACGGTGCACGTATGATCCAACCTGATAAATAATACAAATAGTGAAATATTATGAACAGTTTATTATTCAGAATAATTTGACGTTGTTAAAAATTTCACTTTTCTTCGTATTTGTATCCAAATATCTATTATCTATTAATGATAATTAAACAATGTTTATCTAAATAATGTCCCATGCAGAATATATTCAAAAAATGATAGTACACCAAACTAAAAACTGATGCATATAAAAATGAATTTTATTTTATAAGAGACGAATTGAAAAATAATAAAAGAATGTTTTAAAATATTCACCTGAGTATTTTCACGTATGATGACTGTACCGGGATCAATGAATACCGGCGGCTTGTTGTTAACGTCCACGATTGTAATATTAACCAGCACTTCAGCTGTCCTTTGTATTTCCGTCCCGCTGTCTATCGCGAGAACATTTAAGCTGTACCTCGTTGTTTTCGGAGACGTGAGGTCTGGGTCCAAATTCGAACCCGGGGCAACCCTAATCACGCCTGTCTCGGGACTAATCACGAATTTATCACCTGCCCCGCTTTGGATTCTATAGACTAACTTGTTATTGGGCGATGACAAATCTTTATCCCATGCTTTGACCTGTCACACGAATTTCAAACAAAAATATTAATGATTAAATTAGTAGTTATTATAATTAATAATACAATCATCTCGAAAGTAATAATATTTTTTCTAATAATTGAACAGTTCTTCTGCATGACAATAAATTGAAAGTGAAGATCATTTCTTAAAATTGGGATCATAGAAATTTAAATGAAAATTTTGGTAAAGTAATTAACTTTCCCTTCGTATGCACCTGAACTACGCTGGTGCCGCCACCTAAATCTTCAGGAATGCTTCTCTTGTACAGTGTCCTTTCGAAAGCAGGGGCGTTATCATTAATATCCTTTAAGTAAATAATTAATGGCGCATCGGAGCTCAGACTCGGCGTTCCCGCATCCCTCGCTCTCACTGTCAATCTCAGTGGCCGTACAGGTAAGCTTTTATGCCCTTTACTGATTGGCAATTCTTCATAATCCAACGGTGTTGATGGAACGATGATTCCACGCTTCGGATCAATTGTAAAATTCCGTGAAAATTCCCCAGACACAAGAGCGTATATCACCTCACTGTTCTTGGTACCTGGAAAATATTCAATAGAAACCCAAACATGTATGCAGACTTCATCTTATCAAATTCTAACGTAACAAATTCTATATTAAAAGAAATGCACGTTAAAGTAGTTAACAATTTATTTATTTTAGAAAGTCACTTTGTAATTAATTTGTTAATTAATTTGTCTGTTATCAAATATACAATGTGATGTATTAAAAAGATACAAACCATTCAAATCAATGTCAAAAGCTTCGACTACCAAAGGTGATTCGAAGTTAGCAGCATTTTCCAAGAGCACGGCTTCGTATTTATTTTGTAGAAATACTGGCGCATTGTCATTCACATCATTCACATTCACGATTAATTGGGCTGTATTCCGGTTACCTTTACCAAGATCATCCCTTGCCTCAATGGTCAAATAATGTCGGGACACTAGCTCTCGATCAAAACTAGGTCCAGATTCTTTCACTGTGATCACACCTGTCGAAGGATCCATTGACAGACTACAAACGAGAAAAATATACCAATCAAATAAATATATCATGTAAAATTATAAAACAGAATTAATAGTTTATTTCTCTAATATTCGTCAGTGATATTGAATTATAAATGAAACAATCAATTATGTCTATAAAATTTAATATCTTTTAACTTACGCGTGTGCAATACTGCCCCCTAAATGAGTATATCGAATGCCTCGAGTTCCAAAATTGCCACTGTCCTCGTCTAATGCTTGAACCCACGCCACTGTCGTTCCCACAACACAATTCTCCGGAATTGACACTTCGTAAATACTTTCGGTGAACTCCGGATAATTATCGTTTTGATCTTTTATGAATACTGTTACTGGAACAGTGCTGTATTTCGATTTAACTGGCACCACTTCTTTGGCTATTAACGTGAAATTTACCTCTGAAATGTGAAAAGTAGCTTGCCTTTAGAATTATTTTTCTATGATACTTCCAATGTCTTTTAATGTAGTTCACTATTTTCAAAATTTTAATAATTGTGTAGATAAAAGAATACCTGATATCGTTTCATAATCAAGTTTGGTAGAATTCTTGACGCGTATTAGAAAAGGGGCTTCGTTAATTCCTCTGGATGGTGTTACATCAAACATTCCATCATCGCCATCAATGAGTATTCTAAAAGTACCATTTGTGCCCTGTAAAAGTATTATTGAAGTGTTAAAGTATCTCATTATACACATTTAAGATATAGATATTCGAAATTAGTATCCTTATCAATTGTATAATTACACTAATTTTAATGATCTACCGTAATAATCTTTATAAGCGAAAGTGTGTAACAGTAAGCACAACATAGAAATCATGCTAACATCTTCACACTCGTTTATTCCAAATAATTATGGAGTGGTAAAGCGTGTTTTATGTAACGATATTGCACAACGAACAACAAAAGAATTTAGAAAGCATATTCAAACATTCTGTAATGGAATTGAAACGTTCAAGCTAAATAGTATACATCATTGGAAAAATTTCCATTTTCATTAAAATATTTATAAAAATAGAATCCAGAAATGAATACAATTATACCGATATAATAATATAAACAAAATTCACTAATGAATATACTACACTTCTAAAATATCAAGTTAAATGTTATCAAATATAATTTTATTATAGTTAAATATCGTTATTAAATATCATGTTTCTAAAATTCACAATAAGTACACTAGTAGATACTTCGACAGATTTTAAGAAGTTTTCTAACATTTTTCTTGGAATCTAACGGATCTTGTCTTACACTTTATAAGAATTAGCCCATAAAAATCTCAATTTACATAAACATCCGCAATCCGGTAATAAGCTATAGTATTTAGCAACATCCGTTTCTCACCAGGTCGTGATCGTAAACTTCCGGTATCGCATCCCCGATGAAGTTCACCGCTGTATTATGCGGCGCATTTTCATTTATTTCAGCTCGGTATTGTGGGTTTCGAAACTTGGGCGTCTCGTCGTTAACATCCGTAAGAATGATAGTGACTTCGGTTGATACTGACGGCGGTGGTACAATTTTCGACACTTCTCTCACAGTAATTTCCAGAACAAACGCGCCTTCCGCATTTTCCTCCGCTTCTCTGTCGAGTTGCGCCCTGGTGAACACCAGACCGGAAGTCGCGTCTATGTCGAATAAATATCGCGGACCTTGAGTGATGCTATAAGTCACTTTATTATTTATTCCTTTGTCGCCGTCCACCGCGCGAACTGAAAAATATGTGAAACGTTCTTATCTGAATTTGCAAACGAAGGTTATTAAATTGGTGCATTTAATGTGTTCGTTTAATTTGGAATGTAATGTGGATTTAGATAGTGTAAGGGTGTTTCAAAAATTTATCATCAGTCCGAGTTATTCAGTTGGAACCTATTAATATATCATGATCTGCCGTTTTTGCTTTATAGAAATATTAAATTGCTTCTTTATAAAAATTGTATTCAATGAAAATTTTTAAGGTCTGTTGTAAATAAAATGCAATTTTAAATGGAGAAAGGTTGCATCTTGCGCGTTGGACTAATTTTCTTGTGTGGAATCACCTTTATATTCAGTTCTACACTGTGTATATTTACTGTTTTCTCATGGAAGTTTCGGAAATAGCATCGAAATACTCGAAAGAAGAATTGAATTATATGTTAGCTAAAATTGATAATCAGTTGTTTCCGTAAACAATTTAGAACCAACTTTGAACTTACCTTGAAGAATGGACGTGCCTATCCTGGCATTTTCACTGATCCTAGCAACAGGCGTCATGGTTATGAATTCCGGTGGTTGATCCTCGACGTCCTGAACCTTAACGAGTATCGCTGTTGTTCCTGTATTTACCTGGAATAATTACGAACGAATACAGGGGTAATTGAAAAATGTTTACAAAGAACTGCAACATGAAATTATCTGTAAAACACAAATAGACAGTAGCGAAAGCCTCACATGATGGTTCAATGATTCGGCAATTCTCATTAAGGGTTATTGTCTTCTGGATTTATTCCAAGGCTGTTTTCTTTATCACAGAGACATTCGCTGTGTTAATATAAGGGTTTTATCTTGACCAAAATGTACACAATACTTTAACACTCGCGATAATAAATTAGTGTATCTAAAGCGGGTAATTTCCATAAGCATAATAGTCCTATATCTTGCACACGCTAATGCCAAAGTTCTCACTTATATTTTCTCTTAGAGTTTAACTATAAAATTTTTATTCCTATAAAATATACAAAATATCAATACCAGTTAATTAATTTAATTTCTTCTAATTATGATACTTATTTATACTGTAACTTTCAGTTTTTCATACGTGACTGTGTTATAATATATATAAATATATTAAACTATCAAATTTCTAATTCTGTGTTATAGTCATTTAATGCTATCTACTAATTGATTAATGTAATTTCTCCTAATTCAAGAATTCATATAACTTACACCGCTTCATAAATGTCAGTAATAAAATATGCATAAACATAACATGAAATTTCCAATGTAGTTGCGTGGTGATTCTAATATTCATCAAAACTTTTTAAAGTCTAGAAACCAACCTTTTCATTAATTGCTCGATCAATCGCCAAAATTCTTAGCTGGTACAAATATTTCCTTTCGTAGTCCAAACGACCGACAAGACGCACGACTCCCTTTCCATTGACAGTCGAGATGCTGAATACATCGTTGTCGCCGTCGAGTTCTTGTAGATAGTAGACCACCTGACCATGCACGCCTAAATCCGCGTCAGTAGCTTCTACAGTGGTTAAAATGCCTGGGCCAGAATCCTCTCTTATAGTCAAAGAAGTCGGATGAGGTCGAAAAATCGGTACATTGTCATTAACATCCTCCACGAGCAATAATAAGCTCTGCGTAATGAAATTTCCTTCGCCGAGCCTTCCGTCCGTCAAAGTCAGCACTAATGCGTACTCGTCCCTGGCCTGGAAGAGTATTTTAATAACATTCGAACATCATGAGTTCTCTATTATCATTTTTCCAATTTTCATTTTTTAGTCTTTTTCCTGTATCATTACAAAATATTCTGACTTTCTCTTTTTAAATTCTTTTTAACTCGTTTAACTATTTTATTTCCGGTTTTCTGTTTTATTTGCACAATTCACGTTTTAGGAATGGATCCTGCACTTTTTCTGCTTTTTTTCTCTAACAATGAGTTTAATATTATTTCTACCAAAGGTATCAAAAGACACTTTTTGAAATTTTAACTTAAAGTTATTTTCTCAGTTCAATTATTCTTCCTCAATTGAATTTTGGACATTTCCTATAGTTAATTTCATAATCCTTATTGGGAAAGTCGAAAAGTTAGTTCAGGATATATTATTAAACTTGGATAATAATTTTAAGTTAAAAATTAGAAAGGTGTTTTTCAACACCTCCGGTAGAAATAGTGTTAATGACTTAATCGTTTTAAAATAAAAAATAAATGGTGGCAATAAAGTTTGATAATCTTATTAAACGCATCAGTAATTATTGTCATGAATATTTTAAAAGCGTAGATCCAGCGATTTCCTTGTAGTTTTCCTACTTTCTTTTTCTAAAACTGTAATAGATTCTAAACAATGAGAACTGTAATACTAAATTATTCTTATTATTTCGTTTTTATATAGCTGCAGGAAAATACATAATTTATTAGTACATTTAATAAACACTATATCATTAATGGAATAAATTCTTATAATTAACATATAATAAACACAAACTAGTAATACACAAATCATTTTTACAAAATTTTGTAGCTTGTCAGCTTTTGTTAACTTTTTATTAATTCTGTTGGCAGTAAAAACTTTCCTATTTCATTCGATAGATTAGACTTTTGTAATCGCATTCTAACCGAATACATGAAAGTGTGAAGGAGTCAGTGAAATTAGGTTACACGCGAATGACATCATTGCAGAGAAAATAGGACGGACGCGTCGATTTCCTGAAATCATCTTGGCTATCATTGCTACGATATACGGACTGCTGAACCAGCAATTTCAAGAGATGTTTTGTATCCTTTAACAGGAAATTAACCCGTTCTCCAACAGTCACGTTCAGGAGAGACGATGATAATGACAAAATAACGACTTCTACGGCTAGATCCGTCGTAGATCACTATGTCCATGTTTCCCTTACTCAGCCGCACGTCCCCGAGTTTCTCTTTAATGCTGTTGTTCTCGTGATTGAGCGTACTATGCGTGGAAGGTATGCAAAAAAGTGAAGATCACTCGTGCGAAATGTTGAAAAAAAAGGAAGAACTACGTAGCAAGGTAGAAGTGAACGTACAAATTATTTGCTTCCTCGGCTTTGAAGTAGGTAAAGGTGGAATTTGCATTTTAGGTTACGCTACGGCTTAGTGAAATGTGTTATTACGTATGCTTTTGTCTGCGACCTCCCACAACACCAGCTTTCCTTTCTTTTCAATCATAATTACTGCAATTCTGTAGTTCATACTTCGAATATGTTTTTCATTTCTGTTCTTGTGTCCTTACCGTGCAATTTAGAGAAAAAGAAAATTAAAAATGCCATTTTATTCGGATGTTGCAGAACTCAGTGATAAGAGGAATTTTCATAAATGAATTTATTAATATAATGGGACAAGCATATTTTGGTGTATCGTTTGCAACTTTACCTTGAAAACTTCATACCCGAAACATTGAAATTAATAAAAATGCATTAGAAAATAGTAATATAAGTTCTAAAAGGCTAATGTTTAAATTGGTAAGAAATAGAAATCCGAAAATGGTACTTTTAAGTTTTGTAGAGGACGTCTTGATAGACTATTTCCCAATTTCTATTTTCCACTAATCAATACATTGTTAAAACATCAGCGTTTTCAGTTCAACCGTAAATAAAAATATTCATAGTTTGAAAAAGACAGAACCTATAGGCCATTTTCAATTGTATTCGCAACAACCGAAGCACTTTCGCGGTGTTGCCATTGCTGGCGGCGAAGCGGAATCATTGGGACCGGGCAGATTGTCGCCAGGATGAATTACCTCTCTGTCCAGCAATTTGTTCAGGTAAATATTGGCCTCGTTCGGACTAAAATTCTCGACCCGAATCACGTCGCTGCCAGGTTGGTCCCTAACACCGAACGTCAGACTGTCACCGTCAGGATCGACGCCGCGAAGCCGGTAAATTAAACTGCCTGCAACAGAAATCAGTTGGCACGAATGCCATCACGATGCTCCAACGAACAAACGGCGTAATTAATTTAAATGTACACAACCTCCGTTCATACTGTCAACGTTGTGCATAGGTTTGCTGGGAAATCAGGGAACATTGGAGCAATGTACTGATACAAAGAAAGTGTTAATCGTTTCGAAAAAAATACATCGAAGAAAGAAACAAAATTTTCAGATCAGCAACCTTAATAGAGATATTATATAAATTATCATAGTTTCCATTAATTAATGATGAAACTCATTAATTAATATAACACGAAACTCGCGAGATATTCACTTACTTCATTTCTTTCACTTCGAAAATTAAAAGAGGATTATTATAAAAGTTAATCATATAAAATGTCGAAACAACGTGAAAGTTTTTGGAATCGTGCACGATATTTGCACTTTGCCTAAAAGTAAAAGCTAATATGTAACTCAACAAGCTCTCAGCCTAATACCAAAACATTTCTTAAGGTTCCTCATTACCTTGCGATATAAATAATTCAATCCACATAACATTAATTCACTACTTTAATTCGAAAACTTCCTCGAACACGTCTAATGGGAAGATCGTCTTCATGTTACTTCGCTACGCGCGCAAATTAGTATACACGCCTGATGAATAATTTGTCAAGAACGAAACCGCGCAACTTCACTTCACTTCAGCGTGGCTGGTTTAATTGAATCTACTTCACATAAACAATAGTCGAAGTGACCGTAATTGCAATATTACGAACACGCTATACGAAACTTCAACAGAAATTACATAAAACTGTTAACGTTAAACAACTGAAAAGTGCATGGTAATATTTTATAACGTCCGACGTTAATTTGTGCAACAGTGAAATTGCTCGGAGTTTACTACGTTTGCTTTGATACGGATCAACTGCGTACTCAAAGAATAACGAGAGTGTGATAATTTAATTTGTGTGATGTTGAAGATTCAGCGTTAATCTAGAATAGCGAGCATGACCATTGCTGTTTGCATTTCTTCGAGCAAATCGGAATGGAGAAGACGTTAAACTGTTTCTCTCACGGTTCCACCGTGGGGTGGTGCATAAACGCGGCAAGAAGCGTGCAGTTCGCGTTTAAGGATCAACGTAAGTATGCGCGTCTGCGAGCCAGTGTGCATCGATGCATCACGAAAATTTCCACATATTCTTACCGACGGTTGTATCGGAGCCCTCCTTCAGTCTGAGAATGATTTCCGTCTGGCCGTCGATGAGAAACCGCGGCGGATTGTTCCTGGCTGAGCATCTCGTCAAAAGGCACATAAATACGATTATCAGCCATTCCTGCTTGAATCTGCGCCTCTTGTACGACCGTAGCAACCACGTGAATGCGGGCATCGGCTTCTTTAAGATCATCTGGGCGGCAACCATCCTCTAATTGTCATGATTACTTCTCCTCGATGAATTTTCCTGTGCAAATCAGCCTTGATACTTCGGCTGGATCGATCGTGTTGAGTAATGGATCCTGAAATAATGAAGGTACTCAGAAGTTTCGTCCGTTCATCGTTGAGTTTAACCTGTTAACTGTGGAATTTAGTCTGAAAAATCTCTTGTTTTGCGCATAATATAATCAAAGTATGAAGTATCGACTCGTCAAACGCTGGACGAATGCGCCTAGGGTATATTTTAATGAAAAACCAATGCAAAACGAAGAAATAAATGTTTATCCGAAAATATGAAGAATTCATCGTTGAATGAATTAATGTCATTTCAAGCTTTAACATGATGTACACTCGTCAAACGCAGTTTACTGGTTTATCCATTCAATATGCATTTCTTTCAAGAACAATTGATAATTATTAAATAAAACATGTTGTCTTTACAGAATATAAGTAATAATCAAGAACAAAAATTTCCGCGACTTCCTCCACATTAACCTGTGTGTTACAATATTAGATAAGAACACATATACATGTAATTTATTGTTTGCAGAAAATATGAAACACTGATTGTTGCGAATGTGCGATGCTAGTAGCGAACGTGTTAATAAACTATTGAATGGTAGAAACAAGTATGTAGGATAATTAGAAAATGATTATCAACGAATTTAATAGATTACTCAATGAGTTTAGTAAGATGAACGAGATGAAAATGTTCTTGACACTTGACAGGCGTTTGCTTTAAAATAGTCCCATCAGAATAGTCTCCGTATAGTGAATAAAGATTCTCAGAATGGTATTTTCAAAATGTACCTTTCGAAATGGATTTTTTAAAATGATTATTGCAGATGCTAAGTATACTACTTCAAAATAATGTAATAATGCATTGAACGTCGTTAAACTCTGCTTCGTAAGAATTTCTTTTCACCTCGAAATAATGAAGAAATTCAACTGATCAGAGATTTGTAAGATATTCGACGCGATCGTGTCGATTTCAGTGACGATTATACCACCGTTGGTGTTAGTTTATGTGCTCCTCGGAACGCGTCGGCCTCGAGCGGTGTGTCACTTTCACGCAGTATTAATTCGCCGACGTGTGACTTTTTCGCGGTGAGACCGACTTCGAGGAATTGTAACAGAAGACGGTCAGACGAATCACGCGGTTAATTAATCCGACTGTGCAACCAACGGCCCAGAGACGAGTCTTCTCAGGACAGCGTAATTGACTGCAAGGAGAAAACGCGTGGGGAAGTTTGAGGACCCGGCGAGCGTGTGTTGCACCCCAGTGAAATGGTAACACTGGGAGGAAAGTGCCGGTGAACCGGTTACGAAAAGAAAATTGCTCGCAGATTTTCTCGTAGCACGCGACCGGATTTCTCCGGAATGGAGAAAATTCATCAGCACTTCAATGAGATTTTCTCGAGTTACCTCGAATCGATTTAACTTTCCTTCTTCCGCGGAAGACTTGATCCGTACGTTTGTCGCTAAGTTGGAGAATTAACCTCTTGTCTTATAATACCATGTCAGACTTTTGATGGAAATTTAAAAATTTTGATATTAATATGAAATTTTGAATTTGATAAGTTTGAATGTTATTCAGTTTTTTTTAATTTAACTTGAATGCTATCTTTCCATTGTTAATTCATAATGTTTAAAGTGAAGATATAGAATAAGCATCAAATTATTATCTTTCTGTAATGCATTATTAATGATAAAGTTTTACCAAACACAGTTGTGGAAGACATAATAGAAGACAGGGTTGCATCAAAATTATAAGATTATTGAAAACAACCCTTTGACTTTGAAGATTGTTTTATGTGGCTTTGAATTTGAACGTTTTCATTTGGCACATTGGGAATTTTAATAAAGAATCGTTTTAATAAAGACGCGTGTTATAATTTAAATTAAAAATTTAATAATTGGAATGTGCTTCTTAGGAAGAAAGATAATCAGGGCTTTTTATATGCAATGGTTTCGAAGCGAGCAATTCCGAGGATCATTGTTATGTAAAGCAGTTTATAATAAGAGTATCATACTATCGATGAACTGTTAATGAAATAATGATTTAAAAATTCCGTTAGCGTTTCGCTTCGCTTGCTACAGGAATGAAAAATTTTTTATTTATGAATCGTTCGTTCGAGCACTTGAACGTGCAATTAATGCGATTATGTGGCGTAAAGTTCATCCTTTTAAAATGCTGAAACGCAAGTTGTTGTTTTAGTAACGGTTACTTCATCATTTTCTTTGCTCGAAACCAATAGGTGTCATTAAATCTTTGATTAACTCGCAGAAATTCGTTTACCTTCCTATTACTTCCACCATTCCTGCCACTTGTGATATACGTCCAGTTACAGAATAATTTATATTTTTTATAAAAACGTTATTATGAAAATATTCGAAGGGAACTGAATTACATAAACGAAATAAAAAAAAAGGTATAACTACAAGGATGAGCATAATGAGATGTTCAGCCTTATATTACGGTAGAACGGATAAATTGAATTTCTGATAATATCTATTATCTCATGATAATCCCCCGTATCATTCTCATAATATTAGTATTATACGTATCCCGAATAATTTGCTATTTTCTTAATAAGATGATAATGTGATCTGAATGCAGTATACCTTCCTGTTTCTTTATTTAATGAAACCGACGTAGAATAATATTAGAATACGTTACGCGTTTTTGATTTTCGGCATCCTTTGTCTTACGATTCATCTCCGCCAAGATTCCAATAATTATTTAATTTCATTGAAGTAATCAATTGTATAAATAAAAAATGAAGCTCACATCGACATGTTCCTTGTAATCCGGTGAACAATAACATATTACAAAAAACATATTCACAACAAAAATGATCGTCTCAGGATATCAAGCTAATGTCTATTCTCCCCAAGGAAAAATAATTCAAAAAGGTATCCTCGCTTCGTAACCAATGCCATTAGGTTCTAATTCCTCAGCATCTACGTCAAACGTCAGTTTTTACAACAGGAATCAACTTCTTCACGAAGCAAGACCGACTCTCGAGACAATTGCGTTTGCCGCTGTTACGTTTAATTAGACAAGTGATTAACAGGTGCCAGGGTGCTTTCCTATTGCTGCGACGCGTGCGTGCGTGAGCGATCGCGCGCGCGCGCGCTCGCTCGGTGCGTTCAATGTCAAGACTGTCAGGAGCCACGAGCGATGGAAGGGACAATTATCCGAAGTGAAAGCTCGCCGGAAGTCGCAGTTCGTTTCCCACGGTATCGGTATTATACCACATAACCGTAATAGAACCGTGAAAAAACGACGTAAATCCTCGTCCCCCGAGATGCTGATTCACTGTCGTTCGCAGTGGCCGCGCATTTCATTTCCCTCCCCGCAAGTCACCATTACAGATGATTTGTTCTACGAGCGCCTCTCCTTTCACTTGCGGGTTCATTAGCCGAAGTTTCTTTTCGGGTCGTTTGAACTTTTAGTTTCATCGATAATGATCCTTGTAATCGATTGCGAGTATTTTTCTTCTTGGAATTTTAGTGATTTATTTCTCTATAAATTATTTTAATACATCGAAATGAAGTAAAATATATATGAAGCTGCAAAGCAGTAGGAAATGATCTGTGTTAGAGGGGATTCAAGGTTTGTGAGAAAGATTTTAGAAATCTATGGTCCAAGTGTTGAAGTTTATATATTTAATATCGGTTATGAGTATTTTTATTCTTGGACGTTAAATAATTTATATTTTCTTAAATTATTTTAAGACATCGAAATAGTATAAAATATATGAAGTTTAAAAATAGTAAGAAATGATCTGTCTTAGAACGGATTCAAGACTTATAACGAATTTTTTAGAAATCTATGATCCACGGTTTGAAGCATACGTAATTAATTTCGCATAAATTATTTAAACTGATATGAATGCTATTCAATTTCTGAAGTGAAAAGTATTAATGAATATGTCATTCTCGTTTAAATGTTTGCTAATTAGACGTGAAAGCTCTTCGATCGCAGAGAAATTACATATAACAGTTTTTCAATTAATACTGCAATTAAGAAATATATATTAATGTACTGAATTCGATGTTTCATGTTTCTCTTCAGTTTTATATTGATATGAACGTGACATAAGAATTAATAAACGTATTAAAAAAAGGACTGCGATCAGTAATGTACTTTCCATTCGAAAAATAATTCGAAGTGCGTAATAATTGCGGGGAAGTATATTAATGCAAATGAAAACTCTAATTCATTAAGTTCTTCTTCCACAGATATTCTCTGTTTCACAAATTATGAAGAAAGCGGTTCAGCGATCTGGCGCGTGTGAAACTTATTCAGAGAGATCGGTACTATTATTTATACCACTGTTATTGTATTTTTATCTGGGTATTCGCAAATCAATCTCTTCCTCAAGTATGAACGACCCAACCGCAAAGAACTCTGCTGCCTAGAACGTGTTACTATATTTACTGGACCGTGAATAGAACTGATCCCGGTGTAATTGCGTTGAAATCGCGGAAAAGGAAAACATTACTCAAACAAAATTCAATATTTATTAAAAATTATCCGTATTTCAACAAGTATCGGTGTGAATTCTTTTATTTGTAATCCTTCGAACGAGGTGCAAGACCGCGAAATCATATTTCTTACAGGACATCTTTCTTGTCCGTTATTTCTGCGGATCTAGCTAACTTTGCGATTCAAAATCATTGTTCATCCAGCTTTACACTCGGACTGATCCATATCACGCAACTTTAGTTGTCTATTTTGAAGGGTAATCAGAATCCGTCATAGTTCTCGCATGCATGCAGTGTCATATGAAATAACATTTATTCATTGTCAGTTTGATATGTAGCTCATAGATGGTTAATATCTTTGATCAGTTCTTCGGTTTGGTAATAACTGCAAGCTCATAGATTAAACGCATCGAATGCTTATTGGTTATATATTTTCAGCAGAAATTCTACGTAAAAGTTATTACAATTACATTTGATCGATTTCGTTCAATATTAACTTACTCCTTTTATATAGTTATTCAACTGCATATTACTTCGTGTATTTTAAATAGTTGACTTAGTTATTTTTATATAGTGAACTTAGTTATTATTAAATAGCCAACTTAGTTACTTACACGATTATTAGAAATAAGTTATTTATACAATGTTCGCTTAGTAATCCATAATATGTCGTAAAAAATGCTTCATCGAGTACTTTTCAGTAACTAATTAATTTTGTTAGTACCTTTCATCTGGAACTGAAGACTTTTCGCGTAATTAATCAACGAATTAATCTTTTTCGGATCTCTTAGATGCATGAATACCGTAATCATCCGTAGTTCAAGTGTGAAACACGACCAAATTCCGTGATTTATCACTGAACTACGAAAACTCATCGACTCCGCCGAAGCCCTGTTCACTGGCCTCTCCGCCGCAGTTGTTCGTTCGCTCTTTGTAGACAAGAACATCCGGCCGTGGTCAGTGGTCTGCAAGGCCGATGCCCGGAAACCAGATAGTTAGGCAAGATTATGAAACGTCATTAATTCTCTCCTGAGGAGCATCTAGATTACCGTAGAAGTCGTGACCGAGATGACCAGCTTGTTCTCGAAATTACACTTTACACATGACCACGTTTCCTACAGTGAATACTATCCAGCGATAATTACACAAAAGGTAGCGTAGCTAATGTATGCACCTCGAATGCTACTGCAAGTTTTAACCCATTAGGTATTTCCGTAAGTAGACGACCTTACGCAGCGCACGACTATTTCAATTTTTTAACTCTAAACGCATCGTACATTTTGCCATTCATTAGTGCTTAAAAATTGAAAATCTTCAGAGTCATGTAATTTATAGACCGCCGTGTATGAAAGGATTCATCGTTTCTGTATAACACTGCACACAATTGATATTTTAGTACTTTTTATATTTCTTATTATTTAATATTCTATTATTCTTTTATATATCTTATTATTCAATACTCAATTATTACTTTCATTTCTTATCATTTGACATTCTTTCATTACTTGCACTTCTTATCATTTAATATACTATTATCACTTACGATTCTCACTCTCCAATATTCTATATCAAAGAGACAAACATAAAAATTGTTTAATTCGAGAAAATCGAACTTTTCGCAGAATCGAACAAAAAGGTGAAATAAGATTTTCCAAAATGCCGATTGGAAGATGTTAAAAATGATCTTGTCTGCTATTAATTTTCACTTTCTAAGATTCGAGTTCTATGTCAAGGTTACGCTAGCCCCGATCCGATGCAGCGAACGGTTATTTCCGCAACACGCGCGACAACATCGGCTGTTTTTACGAACGATGCAGCAGACGATTAAGGTAATAGCAGGTTCGAGTGCACGTGCGGAGATGCTTCCCTCGGATAGTTCGACACTTCGGGTACACGCGGTGCCTGGAAATATATGCCGCGCGGTGTTCCTCTTGCCAACAGAGTGTGTCGGCTACGCTCTTGACTTTTAAGACTACCAAACAGAGGAAGACCATTCCGAAGGTTTTCTGTTTTCAGACTGGCCCGAAAAGGTAACGTTAACAACTGGGACGATAGTACGAGCATCGTGTTTTACAGTTACCTTCTTTTTCTTTCGGTCTGACGTTTTAACGAATGATCTTCCATTCCAGGCGCGTCCTCCTGTCTCCTTCGCTTTTTCTGTTCCCTTGCGCGAAGTATGGGTAAGGATTGCACCGTTGACGCGTTTGATTGAATAGAGAACATTTGATACACTAATTTGCTCGTGAATAATGAAAATAATCATTTATATTTGCCTATGTGGATCGTATCTATTGCAACGGAAGAGAGAAGAAGTTTGCAAAGGGGAAACATAAAACAGGAATGAAGAATGAAAATATTTTATGCTATTGAGTCATGACGTTGTTTGTGAACGAAGAAACTTCTTTTGTAACTGGTAGTACTTCAGTTGTGCTTGAGAGGGAAACTTACGTGTTGAAGTTATGTTAAGATCTTCCTTTTCGTTTATCGAGCTGATAAATCGATACAAGTGAAGTTTTAAGGGTTGTCCTAATTTCATTCAAGGTTCTCGGAAGGAACTTCAGGAATAAATGGAAAACGGATAGAAATCATTTATAAACATGGTAATCGTACAATTTAGTATACAACAGATTTGCACTTATTAAATTCAACTTTTTAATTTACTGTATTACTTAACAGTTACTTTTAAATGACTAAAAAAACTTACGTATATATACATATATATACACTTGAAACGTATGTAATACTATCGTATATTCTCACTAAATATATTAAAATTGTATATTACACGTGGTAATTAAGGTTTTACGATTTCTATTATGTATTAAGCAGGAATAGTCATAAATGGGAAAAAATGTTGTTTTAATTGGAGAAAATTCTATTGCTCATAATTATTGTACACCGTGTGTTAATGCAGAAGGCAAGGGTATCCTTTGTTACGTTTCACATGGGTAGATCAGAGGAAGTTTTTATGCATGGTGGTCCGACGAAAATAGACAGTAAGGTCGTGTTTCAAACAGGGATACTCCGAGGTGCGTGACGTCATTTCCTACACCTGCCATGCATGCTTCCGAATGATAACGCAGCGCGGGGTATTGGCATACCCCATGCTACACCGTCTGCTACCCAGCCCACCCCATACAGAATATCGTTGCGTGACGGACTCCTTCCACATTACCATACCATACATACAGTATCGTACGTTAACGCGATGCACTTGCACCACTTGCACCAGCAAAAAAACTGTTGTTCATCATGACAAAAATTTCACCTCGTGCCAACTATGTTCTGAAAATTTCCTTTTTTCCGTGTATAAATGATTCAAAGGTTCCTTTCTTTTGCTTATATTTATTATATATTATTGTATATATTATTGTAAATATTATTAATTTTATATATTAGTTTATATATTATTAATTTTATACATTATTTCATATATTATTCATTTTATATATATTTTATATATATTTTTATGTAAATTCACATATTTAAAAGCTTCTAATTTTTCAAAATGGATGTAAATTAGAATTGATCTTGTCCACTATGGATTTTATTGAATTTATACTGTTATCGAAGGTTTATCATGATTTAATGAAGATGTCGGTATGTTTTTTATTATTAAATATTTACTATCTTCGTTAGTATTGGTATCTTCATCAATTTTATATAACTTTGTCTTGAATGCATTGTTTATGATAATGTGTTAATAAAGACAATATATATTAACGTTAATTGCAATTTCATGTTATTCATACGGATAATGTATTCTATTGGAATACATAAAACAATGTTTACATAGATGACAGTGGCGTATAGTGTATATTCAGAGTGAACGAATATCGTTCATTCATCCGGACTTTCGAAGGTATCAATTGCATGATCTCGATCGCCACTATCGTGTTACACACCCTGAAGACCCTCTACGTGTTACTTACTGTCAATTGTGCGTGTATTTGCATGTCCAGAGATATTTCACAATTCATTACAAGACTAGTCAATGTTGTATCATATTGTATACCAAGAGCTACTTAATATTTATCGTTAATACTATAAAATACTATTAATGTTTATCATGAATACTTTGAATCATTCCTTTGTTAAAGTGATTTTCTATAAATATTTACCATTTCTCACAAAATAAGAAATAGAAAAACTTGAAGAACTTTTGCATATAAATTCAGTCGAACGTTTTGAAACGAAAATATATTATAATGGACAATGTCGTAAACTTTAATTATGATAGAAAAGCATATAGTTATATTCATCTGCCCCAAATCTGATAGGCATCTTACATAAAATAAAACACTACAACGTTGCGAAAAGATTGACGAGAAGCCCTCATAATTATCTGTCGTAAACGAAAAAGAGAAATGAGATTTCATAACGTCATTGTGTTATATGGCACAGGCGAAATGTGATTACAATGATATCCTTACGTAGCATTCGCTATTGCATCATGATTATTAGTGACTAATTATTAATTGCAGAATGGAGAGAAAATTGAGGACACTGCTGCCGGGTCCCTACAAAATCGATACACGATATCATTGTATTCGATTATTCTTATTGTGTGAGAGTAAAGGATTGTTCTTTAACGCGCAATGGATAAGTATAACAACAAATGACGTTTAATGGACACAATTTATTTTCTTCTGAGATAAAGTGATACGATTTTCTGTATTCAATTAAGTTTTTCTCATGTCTATTGACTTTAATCCGACTTACTTGTTCATTTCTAGTTTGTATTAATTGTAATAGCTGATAAATAATGGAAAAAAATGATGTCAATTACAAAAGAAGCAACATCATGGTTATAATTTAATTTGAAGTAGTATATAGTAATATTTCAGTTCCCATTTCCAGTAAACCTATAATTTATACATATATAATTTGATAGCAAAATAATAGAAACGTAATTCAATTTTTAAATTAAATTAATTAAATAAAATACGTCGACTAATAGGAAGTGAATAAACAGCGAATCGAAACGATTGAACAGAAATTAATACGTATAAAGGAAATCTCCAATTATTTCATTTCCATTGATTAATTAACAACATTTAAGTTGCAATTTACATCTAATTTCGCAATGAAAACTTCCCTAAACATTTAAGGTAAAAAACATATCCACAGGAACTGTGAAATTATGTTTCGATCGCATGCCAACGAAATGCACCAGCGATGCAACGCGACAACTTTTAATTGCTCATCGGGAAGTTCGGCGAATTCAACACTAACAGAAACTGCGGGATTTCTAGTGATGGACGCGCTTCACTAGTCACTGTCACGATTCCAAATTACTCCCGAAACTTCCCCAAAAATCACGAATCGACCGAGTTTTCGAAACTTTTTCAAGGAAGTAGAAGAAACTTCTCGGACTTTGATTGACTGATACTTACTGTTTTCACGGGGCTGTCGTAGCCGAGGCCGCCGACTCAATTAATCTGTGAACCACGATTTTTTCCCCCGTGCGCGCCGACGCGTATTGTTCTTCAAAGTCGGAACACTTCGCTGCTGGTTTCCAAACTAATTTTTTGTGACGGATTACCCTCGAACATCACTGCGTAACAAATTGTTCTGCCTGTACTTTCACTGGTTACATGTCACTTTGTTCGAAAGTCACGATCGTTCATTGTTCCACTGTCGAATGATTTGTCTAAACACGAAAACGTCGCGAATACCGAGAAAACGGGTTGCCGTTGGCTAAAACATGCGATCGACCGGCGATCGATCAAATGCCATTCGACGCGTAAGGAACAACAGATTTTAATACTCGTTTCCTTGCTCCGCGCTGACTGTCAGCGCGTTACTGATAAACTGCGGAGCACACGAAGCGTGTTCACCTGGCCAGGTGAGCTCCCGGCGTTAAACGGAACATTGCTCATGGCGATAATCCCGATACGTTCGCGTTAATTGATCACCGTTTCCACATTGTTTACGCACGCTATAAAGTTTCGGTGAATCTCGAAAGCAACGTTGCCCCATTCATTTGGAACCTGAAACTCAAATCTTCGGTAATCTTGGAAGATCCTTCTGTCAACTTTCGTTTTTGTTTTTCGTGGATTTATGAATAAACGCGTGTGATATCTCTGTGCATTGGTAAAATCACTTTTGCCTGTATTGTTGGTTAATAGGAGTGTTTAGAAATCCGCACGTTGATTTGTAATTTCGATTGTTTCTATGATTCGAGGTTCTCGAAGATGAATGAAAAATATTAGTAAAATTGTTGTCGGGGTTCGTGTCACAAATGTTGATACGAGTCCCCAAAAAATAACGTTTCTTTTCGGTATTGGAACGCGTATTGTGATCGCGGACGAGTTTTTCGGCTGTGGAGTTTATCAAACGATAGAGTCAGTCACCTGTTCAGGTGTGCTCACGACAGCAAACTGAAGGCAAAACCGAGATAGCCGAGCGGAGATCGGTCTGCCCGGTGTTCGTTCTGCGGCGTGAGCACTAACCGTACACAGAACACCACAAAACGTACGGTTGTTCGCAGTTAAATTCAGCCCGCGGTGTTCCCCGAGGCGTGCACCGATGGATTTCCCCTCTACGCGTACCCCGGCTACCTTCGCTTCAATGTTCGTCAATAGTATCAGTGCATCGACCACTCTTTTTTCCCTCTTTTTTAACAATAGCTTTATTATCGTCAGAAATTTGATACACAATAATCGATAATTTTATTGTACATGTTATAGAACTCTATATGAATCAATGCATTTGTCAAGTTGCAGAGTGTTTAGTCAGCAAAAATATACTTTGACTATAAAAAGATCATGATTAACAGAAGACGTTCGTAAGATAATGATTACGGAAATGTTAAAATAGCTCTTTTAATGTACAACACAGTATTATTCTTGTAAATAACATTTTTCGTATATTTAAATAAAGATACGAACTTGAATTTCAACCCCTAGAACAGTTAATAATAACACTGTGCAGAGGGAAAGTTTCTGTTATGCGTGTAAAGTTTTGTTACAAAAATGAATTATTTGTTCTTTGGTATGTAGAAGACACGCAGAAATTCAAGGTGCAGTATATGAACATCTTACTTCAAACGTCGTTCAATAACGTTGGGGTTTTTTCGAATCCATTTATGAATGTTTCTCATTCGACGATCGACAGTTGGTAATAGAAACTACTGTACCTAGAAAGCTGATCGAAATTTATACAGTTACTGGAGTTTTTAGTATCACATAGATTGAAAACATTCTTTAACCCCTCGCTGTGAGCGACGCTGAAAATTTTTCCAAAAAGTGTCAGCGTCAATGGAGTTTTCCATATTTTCTATTATTTTCTCTCTATTTGTACCTCAGATTATACATTATGATATAACGTTTTCTCATTTTTATTCAATTTACAAATGGCACTCAAAGGGTTAATTATATATACAATCGATTATCGAAAGACCGACCGATCAAATTTACTCGATATATATTGTCCTGAACATTATTAACAACTTGTAATAATTCTAATTTTTATAGTAAAAGTATTTATAAAAGTATTTACGTTTGTGAATTAATGAAAAATGTATTGTCATGAAATTCTATTGAATAAATACTATTTCCATCGTTCAAATGTACGCGCCTTGGACTGTTGCCGCTGTCGTATGGCACACTCGTAGCGAAAATGAAGTATACGACTAATCTGATTCCTGCTAACAAGCCTAAAATCTTGTAATATCGGTAACGTCGAGTTCGACACCGAAATGATAGAGTGGTCCTGAGGATCTCCAAAGCTCTAGACAAAAATTCTCATAAGCTGTAACGTTTGTACGTATCTTAACTTTATACTTCTGGTCATGTGACAAAAATTAAAAAATTGACATTCCAAAAATTTGTATGTTCAGCGTATTCTATCTCTCATTGGTAAACTCTGTCTTTTTTTTTATAAAATTGGTGTTTTAGATCGAATGTTATGTCTTATAAAATGTCCAGTCAATCCTACCTGTTGTCGATACCGTAATGTTAATTTTTTTTTCATACCGACGAGGGGTAGAGTAGACAACATGTAACTACCGACGATACTGGGTCACCGACGTGTCTCGTATTGTTGAAAGTATGATGTCTGGATTCAGATGTCGGACCCTGTATTTGTTCAAACATTTAAGTTCAGAAGTAATCTATATTTAAGTAAAACATAATTTAAATATCGTTACTTACATACTTAGTAATAGCATTTTTTAAATGTATTTAGAACAACTCTCATTAAATTACACCACTGAATTTAAATAATTGACAACTGAAAATAAAAATTGCCAGTGGATTTTAATTTTTTATTAAAATTATAAACTTTTTCATCATCATTTTATTTCTATGACTATTTTTTAACAATAACGACAACTTTTCTGTGATTTAATGAGATATTGCTTGGAAAATATTTTGATACTATTATTTAACGTTTTTGCAAAATATCATAGATATTCTAGATGTAAAATTTTTACGTTTTAATGGCTTCGATCACACACCTATATACGTACATTACGTATCATTCCACTGAGAATTTAAGAAGCAATAATTTCCAATCATTATTCGTGAAATATTAGACAAATGATCTTTCGCTATTCTATTAGAATTCAACTGATAAATAATAAATTCAATTCCTTCAATTCCAAAGTAATATAAAACGATGCAATACATTATAACAATTTATAACAATATAAAATAGTATAAAAACTGCATAATTTTTTAACATAACCTTCATGTTAATAAAATAATAATTAAAAAGTGTACTGTTTTATACAATATGGATAAGAGTGTATAAAACTCTCGTATTTCTTAAGGTACGAAATGACAAAGGACGAGATCAGGGGATCACCTCTTCTCAGCTTCAATTCCTCATTAATGGATTGCATTCTTCGATGACTCAGAGGATCGGACTCCGCGGTTACAGATACGTGTAGTACGTAGCCAGAAGATAGCAAGCTGATTTTATTTAAGGAAGACAGGTCTTTCTTCTCGTAGGACTTGTTCCCTGTTCAAGCGTTACGTGATGTTACTGTAAGAGCCTACCCTCGGTCAAAAACTACGTGCATGTGAATTCCAAGAGGACTGACCTTTCGTACCCTTTTACGTACTTCAGGATGAGGTAACTGTACGTGATTTTTATTTGTATCATGTTCACAATGGATTTCCTGTGTACCCATCCTTCTTGAACGGAACGTGTACGCGTATTCATCTTGAAAGCTGAATTCTCGTTTCGTAGCCACTACTTCATTTTATGCGGCTAGATCCTTTCCCTCATTTTGATGAGAATTTTATATTCGTCGACAGATGGACGGATAACACCATCGCAGTTTTATTAATTTTCTCTTCGATTCCTACTGAAATATTTTGTTCGCGTGAGTGGAATAAAACTTTACTTAAAACATCACTTGCAAAAGTAATCATAGAGTAAGAAACATAAACTTCTTACATTATATTCTGTTATTAATTCTCTGCACTCGAGGGGCGACTCTTTCACCACTTGACCCAACACAGCACGATTATAAAATATAAAATTCAATATTAAATTCCGTGTAACGCATCATGTGAAACATTCAAATAAAATAGTTCTGTCCCTTAATTTTTGGCAGATTGCTGTTCGTGTTAGTTGCAGAGGATATCATCGGTTTCATCGGGGCGAAATGTATATTTATGAGTTAAATTTTCATTCATTTGCGAAAATTTTATGTTGTTTGGTGGGTGAATTATTTTTGTTCACATCCGACGACGTGTATCGATGTCCGGATTAAAATTTGTTCTTCAGAAGGCACGGATTAATAAAGTAATCTCGACTGAACGTCCCGCGACTATGCATTAACGACATGTCTATCCGTCTCGGTTACTAATCGTACAGGTATTCGTATCGAGGATATCGCTCTGTATTATCTGATTTTTAATCTACAGACAGCGGCGGGCGGGATCACCGCGATCGTGAAATCCAACTCGTAAACCTTGGTAACTCTTCCACGGAATGCCGGGTATAAGAAAGTATCCGAGAAATTCAATGATATTCACCTAGAGAAGAAACTCGTTTCCGTGGGCGGAATATGAATGAAATGTCAAGGATGATCCAGGGAAAAAGATCTTTAAAGTCTTTCTGTATCCCGTCTAGGATTTCATTGAAACAGAATTGAATGAATTGACAGGCCATTGTGTACAGCGGACTATAATTCAACGTCCGTGGAATGTAGAAAAATTCGAGCCCCCCTTTCTTTCAGTCGCAAGAAACTTATCCAACAGTATTCCCCTTTTTCCACACTAAATTCACAAGACATTATCATCGTTACATCAATTGCCAATCACATTTGAAATCTAATGTAATCGAGAAGGTTGTTCGCGATGAAATTTCACACACAATCCGGTATTATTAAAATCCAACGCCGCAGGAATGTGAAAAAATTCGAATCCATCTTCGTTTATGAGAGGCTTCCCTCGCGCTTTCGAGTGTTCCGGAAATAATTTATTACGAATGTTACTGAGTTATTCCATTAAATTCAGTAATATACCGGACAAAAAGTTTCATTCGAGACAAATCATTTTCATACGCCCAGCATTATTAAAACGAACAAAACTCCGAGTGTCTCAGCAGCATTTTTATTCTACCTCAGGATTCTTCGAAAGAGGGTCCTAAACGAAAGAAGCTACCGTATAAGAATCGTTCCACCGAGCGGACACAAGGTAACCTTATTGTAGGTTTTGTTCGTTATCATCAGCTTCCTTCCTGCCGGTCCGGTCAAGCATTAGTCGCCCGGGCATTCGCGATTCATTTCTCCGAAAGCACCTCCAATTAGTTGTCCGCATGCCGTAACCATAATTCCTGCCTCATATTCTCCATTTATCCAGTTTCGCGAGCTTTCGTACCAGCTGTGTGTACTTGAAGAAAAAAAAATTGAGAGATGAACGTTACCAAAAAGAGCTCGTTGGTACACCAGAAGGAGTAGCAGGTCTGGATCAACGGGGAAAAAAAGAAAGGGGGAGGAGAAAAACGAGGAAAAAAAGGGGAAAAACGACGCCGAACGTCCTTTCTTCCAATGCATAAGCGTGCCTTGGTACAGGTATTAACCTCTCCCTTCCATTTCTCTCTCTCTCTCTGTCTCTCTTTCTCTTGCTTTCTTGCTCTTTCGTTGCCCTTTCCGTCTCTCTTCGTCCAGCTTCTCTCCGTCTCTCTCTCTCTCTCCCCCACACGTGTGCACTCTGGCTATAGTCATCGGATTCTCTTTTAGGCACCGTGTTAAGACTGCCAGATGAAAGTATATAACCGGTTCGCAGCTGCAGCCAGACTGGAGACTGGGCATCGCCCGGCAACAAACACCACACACCATGACACATCTTCAGGTACACATCATGGCGCCAGGGGCGGATTCACCTTTTCAGTTACATACGGACCCGTGCGCGCCACGAAACTTTAATCCCGTCGACCTCACCGATGAATCGGTTGAACCTTGCAGAGATATGGGA